TTATTCTTCAAACACAGTAAAACAGTTCAACATAAGTTGTACACGTGAATCTGGTCTTTTCCCTGAACCAGGGTCTTTGCATGGGTCCGGAGTCCTTTCCCCTTTTGTGTCTCTTCCCTGTCTTGCTCCAGGGCCTGCCACTGGAGCCAACCTCCCTCTTCCAACTGAGCCACTTGCAGGTTTCTCTAATCACTGGATTAGTCTCAGCTGGGAGCTAGCTGAGCAGTGTGAGCCTAGGCCCATCTCCCCTTAAAGGACCAGCCACCCTTTGACTGTGATTTTGAAAAACAACAAAATATCCTTTTTATATTGTCCTTTTAAAAATCAGTACCAACTCTACAGAACCTTCTCCACAGAACAACGATTAGCCCATACATCATCTAATTTTTTCTTCACTGTGGCCTTACCTTCAAGGAATAAGAGAAGGGTAAAAATTGGTGTTTCTAAGATTGTCTTCGTATATTTTTGAACTCTTTTAAGTTGTCTTAGGGAAGATGTTAGTATATTTTTAAGCGTTAACAATGTTACTTAAAAGGAATTTAGATGATGTCACACAAAATTTTGAAATGTTTAAAAAAATGTCAGAAAGCCCTAAACTCAAGTCAGCTATATGAAAGGTCAGGTTGCATACTCATGGATTCAAAAGGCCACAATTGTGATAAATGTCAACACTGTTCTCCTCAAGTTGGTTATTACAGTGGGGCATCAGCTCTGCTATAGTTAAGTTAGAGTATTCATTTTAAAGTAACAGAATTGACCTTTTTGTTTAACAGTAATTTAAAAGCAATCAAATTTTTATTATTTTGTAATTACATTTGTAACAGTTTCGCCAGTAAGAAATGTGGAATTCTGAACTTTGGCGGAATGGAAATCTCTCTCTCTGTACTATGTTACCCTTCAAGTAGAAGGGCTTTTGAGCAGTCTGGGAGTAAGTACCCTTTTGAAGTGATGCCTTTAATAGGAGCTCCTTAAGTCAAGCAGGCACTCTGGCAGGGTGACTTTTACAGGTATTTCAGACTGAGATCTGGGTACATTTAAAGACTGACTACATTCTGAGGGCAAGCATTGTGTCCTGCACTACAGTTATAGCTGAGTTGTGGTATCCATTTACAACTCAGTTGTGCTCCAACCTTGTTATAGCATGGCTTGGGTTTGCCTGCATAGGTAGAATTGCGGTATGTTATAACCACATTAAAGAAACCATGCTATCTAGTTATAACACAGCTTGGGTCCATCTGTGCAGGCAAATCTGTTAAAACAAGGTTGTGGGGCACAATTTTAATGTAACTGAGGTGTCCCCGTGTGCTTATAAATGTGTTGACAGTATCTACATGATTTGTAGGCCAGCAGCTAGAATGTAAGTAAAGGAAGCAGCTCTCCAAGAGTTGCCCTGCTCCAGTTACTCTCCAAACTCTAACCCCGAGACTAGATAGCCAGGGGCAGAGAAAAGGAGGCAGGGAAGTTGCCATAGCCAAGACCCCCCCCCGCCCCCCGGTGCCCGCTCCACTCCTGAGGCATTTTTCTAGTTGAGCTGTTGCTGGTGAGCAGCGGTGAGGCTGGCCTTTCATCCCCAATTGGGTGCTCCTACAGCAACCCCTGCTGCGTCTAGCTATTGAAGGTAGTCAAACATCTCCTAATGCCATATCTTCTCTGCAGTACCAGAATTGCCAGTGGAGCTCTTTGGTAAGTAGGGTCGTTCACTGGGGGATATGGATGAGATGTACCTATTCTGTCTCAGATATTGGAGGTGTGCTCACAGTCCGTGCACTTAGCACAGAGGGGGACAGAGATTTTCTCTGTTCAGAAATGAACTATAGTGGACAAGGCAGGTTTTTCTTTTGAAGTCTGGAATCCTTCAATCAAGTCACAGCAAAGGTGTTCCAGACAGGGTCTGTAGGTGTTTAGTCAACTGATGAGTGTCTCTTACAGAATGGACATGACTAATGCTGCTCAACAATTCAGATTATGTGAGACTGAGAGCTATATGTTTCAGAGTAGTAGCCGTGTTAGTCTGTATCAGCAAAAACAACGAGGAGTCCTTGTGGCACCTTAGAGACTACAAAATGTATTTGGGCATAAGCGTTCATGGGCGAAAACCCACTTCATTAGATGCATGGAGTGGAAAATACAATAGGTAGGTATAAATACACAACATTTGAAAATATGGGAGTTGCCTTACCAAGTGGGTGGGGGGTCAGTGCTAACAAGCCAATTCAATTAAGGAGGAAGTGGGCTATTCTCAACAGTTGACAAGAAGGTGTGAGTATCAGCAGGGGGGAATTAGTTTTTGTAGTGACTCATCCCCTCCCAGTCTTTATTCAAACCTAATTTGATGGTGTCCAGTTTGCAAAATAATTCCAATTCTGCAGTTTCTCCTGGGAGTCTGTTTTTGAAGTTTTTTTGTTGAAGAATTGCCACTTTGAGTGTCCAGGGAGATTGAAGTGTTCTCCTACTGGTTTTAGAATGTTATAATTCTTGATGTCAGATTTCTGTCCATATATTCCAATGTAATATATGCCATCATGTGCCAGCAATGCCCCTCTGCCATGTACATTGACCAAACCGGACAGTCTCTACTCAAATAATAAATGGACACAAATCCTACATCAAGAATTATAACATTCAAAAACCAGTAGGAGAACACTTCAACCTCCCTGGATACTCAAAAGGAGACTTAAAAGTGGCAATTCTTCAACAAAAAATCTTCAGAAACTGACTCCAATGAGAAACTACAGAACTGGAATTAATTTGCAAACTGGACACCATCAAATTAGGCCTGAATAAAGACTGGGCCACCTTGACTACATTGAACTCATTAGTACTACCAAAGTGATTTTTCCTCTCTTCTTGTCAACTGTTGAGAATAGCCCACTTCCACCTTAATTGAATTGGCTTGTTAGCACTGACTTTCCACTTGGTAAGACAACTCCCATCTTTTCATATGCTGTGTATTTATACCTGCCTCTGTATTTTCCACTCCATGCATCTGATGAAGTGGGGTTTAGCCCACGAAAGCTTACGCCCAAATAAATGTTAGTCTCTAAGGTGCCACAAGGACTCCTCGTTGTTTTTGTGAGAGCTATATGAAGTTAATTATTTTCATATCTCTGAGTTGCACAGTCTGCTATGGTCGAAAGTAGTAGATTACTGTAAATTGGCATAAGTTGGAGTCTACCGCCACTTGCTAGGAGTGCCTTCCACACATGGGCCGCACTTAGGGTTGCCAACTTTGGTTGAATGAATTCCTGGAGATTTCATCACATGACACAATGTTTAATTAAAGATTTAATCTTTAATTCCTGGAGACTCCAGGACAATCCTGGAGGATTGACAATAGGGATTTAAAAGTTTAACCGGTTAACTGATAAACTTGATTCTTATCGGTTCTAGTTAATGATTGAACTCCGCTGCCGCCCCTGGATGGAGCGGGATCCCGGGCACACGAGGTGGGGGAGGGGCGAGGGCAGTGGTGCCCCATGTAAAATGTCGGGGAGGGGGGACTGCAGCGCCCCCACACCCCTAGTTTCCCATTAACCATTTAACGGATTGAATTTCAATAGGTTAAATGGTTTCTTTTTTTAGCCACTATTTACATCCCTAGTTGGCAACCTTAGCTGCACTAGAGATAGATCCAAGTTCAGATCTGGATTTCAAACTCTCAAAGTTCGGGGCGTGTTTGGCTCTGGATATTTGGTTCATCTCTCATGCTGATGCTAGCATAATATGCATAGAAAATGGGTTTTTTTATTTGTTTTTATTAAAGCTATTCACCTGAAGTTAGATGCCAGTCTAATGGTTTTAAGTACAAGACTGTATCTAAGAAATGTGGATTCTATAACTAGGTCTGCCACTCACTGGAGGTGGGGCTTTGGTCAGGTCATTGGACCCAAGGTGGGTCAGTTTCCCCATCTGAAATGAAAATGAATACAGAAATCTGGTACATTTGACTTACCTACGTCTATAGGCGTATTGTGAGGCCGAACTTATTGCTGTTTATGTAAAGCGCTTGAAGGTTGATTGGATGGAAAGTGCTACTGGAATTTGAAAGTATTTTTGTTGCTCATACTATAGTATTTCTCCTTGAGGTAATGTCTAAAAACTTTACTAACATTGAATCTTCTCTCGAAGCTAGTGTTCTCTCTGATCTGTCTGTTCAATCTCAACTCCAATTTTCCGTTTTACCTACCTGCACAGAAATTCTTTCCCATTGACATCGGTGGGAGACACATGCATTGTTACTTTAGAGATCCACTGGGTTTATTTGAAGGGAAATGTTTGTCCATAATCTCTCATAATGCTAATATTTTATATACATTGGACTTATTTGTGTTCCACTCAAATACTGGCATTTTTACATTCCTGGTGTTTTCACTTTTCAAATTGATTTCTTTTTAAAATTTCATAAGAATGGAATTATTAAGATGTTACTGTTCAATTTAGTTAAATATATTCTGTCTAGCTGGTATTAAGATTCCTATAGTAGCCTATTTACAGAAAACCAGATCACAAAATTCTCCTCGCACTGGTCTACTAGATTAGAGACTAATCCAGCTCCCATTTAAGTCAATGGAAAGACTCTTACTGACTGCAGTGAGAGCTGGATCAGGTCTATATGGCCTGATCCTGCAAACAATCCTTATCATACACTTCAATGGGATTATTTGACTTAGATAAGTACTACATCTGGGTAGTAAGTGTTTGCAAGATCAGGCCCTTGGACACCAAAGAAGCCCGAAATTAGTGTCCTTATTGTCTGTGAAGTTATCTTGTTCAGTTCTGCTCATTTTTATCTGTTGGAAAATATAAGCCTGTCTTTTAAACAGTCAACCACTGACTCAGTGTGACTTTGTGCAAGTCACTTGTTCATCTGATGCCTTGGATTACTTAGTTATGAGAAGCAGTAAAAGTCTTCGTAAAGAAAGATTCTTACGAAAGACACTAATATTTCTGAGTGCTGTCCCTGTAGATATGAAACACTGCTTTTGCTCTCCATTTTTTAGGTGCTTACATCATGTCGGGCCTTCTTGTTGACATCCCGCATTCCCACCAAGGTAAGTTTGTTTTATTTCAGTACCTGTTTTGCCATCATATTCATGCATTGCAGTGATGTAAACTTACTGGTGACAGTGCTTATGCATCTGAAAAGAGATCTGAGGATTGGAGTAGTAATTTTTGTGTAAAGTTGTTAGAAATGCTTTTTCAATAATGACCTTCTTTAATGGTTTTGTGAGCACATAGATGAAACATTAAGGAGAACTTAGACTTTTAAAAATTGCATTACAAATAACTTGAGGTGTTGTAACTGCACAGTTCATAGGACTCCTAATGGGATCTAGGTGACTTAGTTCCCAGACAAGTTGATGGCATTACTCTATGGGTATTGCCTACACTGCAGTTGGTGGGTGAGATTGCAATTAGGGGAGACATACCTGCTCTAGGTTTGATCTAGCTGGTGTGGCTAAAAAATATCCGTGAAAGTGTGGCAGCATGGGCTATCAACACAAGTGCTTGCTTGTACAGCCCACACTGAAGCCTGTGTCACTGCATCTTCACTGTATTTTAGCTACCCTTGCTAGATTTAAGCTAACGTGTAGGTATGCCTACCCACACTGCAATCATACTTCTGATTACAGTATAGACATATTCTAAATTGTTGTCTCTCTGATCTCAAAAGGGATTATATTTCAAACTCCAAATTAGAAATGATGTGGAGTGTTCTGAATCCTACTGTTTTCAGTTGCTGTTGTTTTCCATGGAGACCATAGTTTGCTATGAGAGGCATTTTGCCAACCTACCTTATAAAGGCCATGAAATACTTATTTCAGTCCCATGACAATTTGGAATGATTGTCATGGCAGAGGAACAAAACATTTCTGTGTGGAGCAGGATGATTTTGAATCAGGAGATAATCTCTCCTCCCATCCAGAGTCCATTAACATTCTTTTGGCAGATGTTCATGTTCTGCTGAGTTATGCACATATACACAGAAAGATTAACAAATGATAATCACTGGTGCTGGAAAGTGTTCCTCTCCCTCATATCCAGGTTGAAAACATGTACTGAAGGCTAAGACTCTCCTTTTGGTGTCCCCAATGTTTATGGAAAGAAATGAGGGCTGCAAATTTTCATGTCAAGTGGAAATGGTGTCATTTAATGTTCTGAGAATTGAAATGGCAGAAAAAAATCAATGGAAATAGCCATAGTATTAATTTAGCACCGGAAACATTTTTAAAAATGTCTTTTTGGTGGCTTTATTTCATAATATCTTGTGGGGTTTATTGTGCTGTATTTTTTATTTTATTTTTTAATAAATCAAAGCCTAAAATCTGTATTCTAGGCTAATGAAAGTGGTGGCATCGATAAGTGAAATGGATAAATAGTTTTCAAATGAAAGCAACTCTTCACAGACACAATTTCTTTTGGAATTTGGATTCTTTCTGTTTCAATAGCCAGTATGCTTGTTGAGAGCATCTTTCTTTACTAGCATAGGTATGCATTATAGTTGACTTCCTAAAACGTAGAAAGTTTTAAAAGATGCACAGGATCTTAACGTTGCTGATGAGCTCAGTGACTCCTCATCTCTCTCAATGCTACTTTGCTAGATGAAGTCAAGAGAACATATGACATTTTTCTGGGATAGTATTATAACCTGTGATTATTTAATACAATAACTATGAGCAAGTGGTAGAGTAATTTACTTGTCCTGAAAAGTGCAACGTAGACTGGAGGAGGATGTAATTGATTTGTATTTTCAGTTTAAATTTATTGCTGTAATCTTTTTCTTTTATTTATGGCTGATCAAATATTTCCTTCCCTCCACTCCTCAAATGATGCAAAAGACTTTATTTTTGCTATGTGAAGACATCTCTCCCTTACACAGACCTTCTGAAAGAGGAATTGAAAGGTTACAAACACTCAACACCTTGGTTCCTTCAAGGAACTTCTATGAAATCTACTATGTCCTGAGAACTTCAGTATTGATGTTACTGTATTAATGTTGTATAGAATTCTAAGCATTAACTCGTCTTGAACAGCTCACAAAGTTGACACTGAAATTTTATTCCATGCACATGAATATAATTAAAGAGATGAAGATTGGTTAAATGTGACATTTGCCTAACACAAAAAAAGTTAAGTTATGGACTCCTCTTTGCAGCACAGCACACTTCCACATATAGTGACAGACTCCACACATTCACAAGGAGCTGTCTTTTCCCTCTAATAGAGAAGGAAACACACCACATACACACTCTGTATTACAAACTTAGCAACATTAGCAAATATTGAATGTTGACATAAATACACAGATTAAGTATCTGGTGTCTGATATGTTTGGTGGTTCAAGATTCCAAATGTACATTTGGTATTAGTTTGCAGTGAGTTTTAGCTATGTGGAAAGTTTGAAAGTGAACAAACCCAGATGGCTGGTAGCCAGTGATATCCTAAAAAGGTGAAACACTCAGAATAGTGTTTATCCTTCCTAGGATACCGCTAGCTAACCGAATAACTCTTTTAATGATTTTTAATTCATAAATTAACATGTATACTTGACAATCTGGGAAAATTCGACTCACAAATTATTTGTTATACATTTTGGAAAGATTTATTGTATTACTTACACACACACACACACACACACACACACACACACGCGTGCACAACATTGAATTCCTTTTTGAAGTGGAAAAAAATAACCCAATCTTAATTATAGAGGTGTTGCCACACCTAGCTATTGCGCACTGATATTCAAAAAGCGTTCTTTGCAGGACCAGCTTTTTGAATCTGTTTCTTCTGTATAGAATTTTGTTTGTTTTGAAGAGCTGTTTTAGGTTAGTGTGAATATACTAAGTTAACACACATGCAACACATAGTTGTACTGGGGCCATCAGAAGCTGCTGGATAAATAATGTGCAAAGTAGGAACAATTTAGATGTAGCTCCTAAAAGATCCATAATGGTCTGTTAGGTAAATAGATGTACACTCTGCTCCTGACTGTGAAATGTGTTAAATAGACTCTTAAAATGTTCCTAGGTTCTAGGGAACTGGGTGACTCGGTATTGGACTGGCAATGGGATATGGAGACTTACACTGCTAAATGTGTGGTTTGAATATAGTGTATGTCACTAGTGATCACTGATGACTGACTGACCTATGTGAATGTAGAGGAAGATACAGTAGATAGATGTCCACATCACAAAAACTGATATTAACTGGCAGTCTCAGATGAGATTGGGCACGAAATGAATGAATTTCTTACAAGGTGATCTCTCCATGGCAAAATGAGATACTTTGGTGTGAGCAATGAGGAAATGCTTGCACTGCCACTGCCTGGGCTGCATCTGTTCTGTGGCTAAATAAAGGACCTTTCCATTGCTGGTTGAGGAGCACCTTTCATGAACAGTAAGTGTAGTTTTCCAGGCTGCTTCATGCTATGATGCTGCTGTACATTGTTTCCTAATGTGGTGCACATTCTTTGTCCCTCTCTTCAGCTAAATGATTGGAAAGAAAGTTCACCCTTTTGTGAAAAAACACTTTTAACACACAAAAAAAAGGGGTGGGGGATTTCACTAAACTGAATACACCTCTACCCCGATATAACGGGACCCAATATAACACAAATTCGGATAGAAGGCGGTAAAGCAGTGCTCCGGGGGTGGGGCAGGGCTGTGCACTCCAGTGGATCAAAGCAAGTTCGATATAACGCGGTTTCACCTATAACGCAGTAAGATTTTTTTGGCTCCCGAGCACAGCATTATATCGGGGTAGAGGTGTACAAACTTTTTTTGGTTATTGCTCATGTCTTTGGAGGACAGAAGTGATGAGTTATAATTAGAAACTTTCATTGAATTTTAGCCTTTAACCCTAAAATCCTGAGTGAGAGCAGAATGGCTTTAAACTGTGCTGCCCATCTATTCACTGGTGAAAACTATAACATGATAGTCTGTGAGGAAGATTACTCTAGATAAAAAGTGTCTTATGTGCTATTATAGGCCTGTTTAGGTATTATTTCCATAAAATAAATGGTCACATTTATGAAGAGTGCTTTTATAAATAGCTCCTAAAGGTTTAATTAATGATTAATAAATGGTTAACTTGTTAGAGTATAATAGGTCAAGAAGTTGCTTATAAACATCGATAACATTTTGTACTAATGCGCTTAGAACTATTTATAACGCATACTACTCAGTCAGGTAACAGACTTGAAACTTCTACTAGTCATTTTTAACCCATAAAAAGTTATTTAGAAATACACCCTTAATATAAAATGTAATCAAATATACTGTACTAAATATTTACTTGTACACAATAAAGTTATTACAGCTGAGACACAGTTACTATTAACCTTCTTGTTTAATCAGTCCGGATGCATTCCTCTTGCTTAACTTGTGAATAATGTGGCATTTTCATATGTTTTGGTTAATGTTTAAAAATGAAAACAAGGTATTTATATTTTGCACTTGTTTTATATTACAGCTAGAACTAACTTTCAGCTACTTAGAAATCCAAGGAGTAACCTCCAGTAAACCAGGTCAGGTGAGTGCTTTCAAGACCTAAAGGATTTAGTATTGTGAAGTTCTGATCTGCAGTGCCAGGAGTATTCTAATTAGAATGAAATTGTTTTCTTTCTACTTCATTTTAAACCTTCATTCTGATCAAGCAGATCATACTATTGAATGTAGAGGTTCTCATCTAGTAAGCACAGTGAACATTTGAATTCTTATGTTCTCACTGCTTGTAAAGCCTAGCAATAATAATAGTAATTTAAAAAGTCAAGTGTAGGAATGAAATGTGTGGGTGGGATGAAGATAAGAAATGCATCCCTTTCATAACTCAGCTGGAACAGAACTAATTGGATGTAAGTTTTCATTTGTAATAAAAATGTGATATTTTTCTCAGCAATAACGAAGAACAATGATGTTCTGAGGTTATTCATCCCATCATACCCTGCAAGTCTATGGATTTTTATGGGAAACACAGGCAAATAGTGGTGCTTAAATTACACACAAGACTTGAAGAGCTCTGTTTGGCTCAAAAGCTTGTCTCGCTCACCAGCAGAAGTTGGTCCAATAAAAGAGATTACCTCAGCCATCTTGTTTCTCTAATTTCCTGGGACCAACACAGCTACAACTATCTGCATACACAGAATTAGTTTAATTTCAGCAGGGAAGTTGAGCATCTTGTCCAGAGTTCTCAAATCTAATTGTATCTGTCTATGTAAGTTACAATATCATACCTCTGTGTGTTGGTTTTTGAAGAGGTTGTTAGAAAAGGGTGCTACTGACTTTTTATTTGAACACCACAGAACTGCATATTTAATATTTGATGTTTTCAGTCTAGCTTTTTGAGTTCTCTATGTACTCATTTTCTTGGAAAAGTAGATATCAGGAGGCACTTATCAAACTGTGTATGTTGTGTTTTTATTTTGGGGGGATTGAGTTTTTTTTTTGAAAGATGCTAAAATGTAATAGCAGTATTTTTGAAAAGGTGTCATCCTATTTATAATAGGAGCAGATGATGAGAGAACAGATAACTGGTTGTGTGTGAGTGTGTGTGTGTGTGTGTGTGTGTGTGTGTGTGTGTGTGGCATTTATGCAGGGTTCACAAGTAAAGTGCCTCTCTTCAATGGCAGAAAGAGGGGGAGGAAATTTAGCTTTCAACCAGCATATCATGCTACCTAAATCTTTTGATATGTTTAAGCAATACTTACATTAATTATGTTTAAGCATTTAGATCTGTAGATGAAGACTAGCTGACTCAATGACAGCATCCGAAGAAGTGGGCTGTAGTCCACGAAAGCTTATGCTCTAATAAATTTGTTAGTCTCTAAGGTGCCACAAGTACTCCTGTTCTTGTTCTAGTGTGTATGGTAACACCCATTGTTTCATGTTCTGTGTGTGTGTGTGTGTGTGTATATATATATATATATATATATCTTC